CCCCCTGTGCAGCTCTGCTGGGGGTGATGGACGAGCCCCAGGCTGGCTCTCCGGAGCTCGGCGCTCGGATCCGTTCGAGGCACCCGGACGAGCGTGTAGCTCGCCCTCCTCTGCGGGGGGCAGCCAAGCCTGGCTCAGGGTGCTCCCCATGCCTGGACAGTGTCCTGGTGGGCGCAGGGCTGTGATCGCAAGGGGACCCCCTTTGTGGCACCGACAGGTGCGGCGCACAGCCCCAGTGCTGCCCCCCGGACGGGCTACTGCGTGCTGAGGATTTGCAGGCTGGGGAATGAGGATTTGCAGGCTGGCGCATGTAGAGATGGGGGGTCCTGGCCGGTCTGTTGCTGTGGGGGCTGGGACCCAGGAGCGGAATGGGGTGAATTACAGGGAGCCTTCCTAGGGCTGGTTGTCGGTGTCTAGAGCCCCCTGGAGCAGGGGTTCTCACGGTGCCTTGTCCTGCCTCTGGGAGGGGTGGCGAGGTGTCTGGTCTTTGGGCTAGTGATGGAGATAGGTCTGGGGTGTGCCTGGGTCGTTGGAGGGGCGGCTGTGGGGGCTGGGACCCAGGAGCGGAATGGGGTGAATTACAGGGAGCCTTCCTAGGGCTGGTTGTCGGTGTCTAGAGCCCCCTGGAGCAGGGGTTCTCACGGTGCCTTGTCCTGCCTCTGGGAGGGGTGGCGAGGTGTCTGGTCTTTGGGCTAGTGATGGAGATAGGTCTGGGGTGTGCCTGGGTCGTTGGAGGGGCGGACCAGGCTGACAAGGCAGGGCCCCTCAGGGGCGGGCTCAGATGCGAGAGGGAGAGGCGTCTGGGGAGGCTGCCGGTGGAAGGTTTGCAGCTCTGTTGCAAAGCCCTTGTAACGCCAGCCGTCCTGCGGTTTGAATTACGGCCCATGCAGTGCCCTTTGCAGCTGGTGGGGAGAAACCCCTCCGACCTCCCGAAGAGCAGCCCAGCAAAGCCCTGACGGAGAGAGGCTGGCGTCTGGGACCAGGCCGACCGGAACAGGGACCTGATCTGGAGAGTCCAGGCCAGTTGGGAACTTGGCAGGCGGCTGGACTTGGGGAAATGAAGAAGCTGCCGGGATGGGGCAGAGGGAGCTGGGACACGTTCCCGGCCTGGCTGAGGGGATGGTTCGCGTGGGCAGTGGGCTTGGACCGAATGCTTCCACATGCCACAGGGACCAGCCGAGAGGCAGAGCTGAAGTAAGAAGAGAGGAGGGGAAACGTCGTTTGTAACCCACGTTCTGGATGCTCTCCGGGGATGTGAAATAGTAACCGCGCGGCTGATCAAAACTCCATCGGTTAAACGCTCCCGGTGCTACCAGAACGCTCGTCAGCACCTTTCCTCCCAACTGGCACCAGCTGCTACCGGGACATGAACCTACTGCTGCTGGCTCTTAGGAACCCGCCATCTGTGCCACTGGCCTCCTGCGCCCTCTGCCCCTTCCCAGCAGCAATCACTAGGAGAGCCGGGGATCTTGCAACTTGTGTGAACTTGCTCTGAAGGAAAGAACCAGTTAAAATGACTCAGGCTCATTAGCTGTCTGCAAGTCGCCAGGGCCTGATGAAACCTTCCCTAGAAGACGTAGGGAGCTAATTGCTAATGGCTCAGGGCAGGAAAAGGGCTCCTCTTGGAAAAGGGAATTCTGACACAGCAATCGATTTGCAAACACACAGACGATGAGAATGGCAGGGATTTGTCAAGAACAAATTGTGTCAAACCAACCGGTTAGCTTTCCTGGACAGGGTAACAGGCCTTGTGGATAAAGGGGAAGTGGTAGATATGGTGCATCTTGACGTCAGCAAGACTTTTGATGCCGTCTCATATGACTCTTTCGTGAGCGGACTAGAGAAGGTCAGCCGAGGTAGAGTTCTTATTAAAAGGTGGGAGGGGCATAACTGGTTGGAAAACCATTTCCAGGGAGTAGTTATTGGTTCAAAGTCAAGCTGGAAGCACATATAGAGAGGGGTCTTGCAGGGATTAGTTCTGGGTGTCGTTCTGTTCAATACCGTCATCAGTGATTTGGATAAAGTGTACAGTACACTTTATAAAGTTTGCAGAGGATACCAAGCTGGGAGGAGTTGCCAGTGCTTTGGAGGAGAGGATTAAAATTCTCAATGATCTTAACAAACTGGAGAAATGGGCTGAAGTACAAAGGATGAAAGTCAGTAACCGCTTGGGAAGGAATAATCAATTGCACAATTTCTCCTAGAGCAGAAAAAAAGGAAGTGACTGTCTAGGCAGGAGCCCTGCAGAAAGGGATCTGGGGTTCATAGGTGGACCATAAGCTAAATATGAGTCAACAGTGAGACACTGTTTGGAGGGGATTTTTTTTTTTTGTTTGTTTTTTTTTGCAACAAATATCATCTGGAATGTATTAGCAGGAGTGTTGTAAGAAAGACACAAGGGCTACATCTACACTGGCATGATTTTCCGGAAATGCTTTTAACGGAAAAGTTTTCCGTTAAAAGAATTTTCGGAAAAGCACATCTAGGTTGGCAGGACGCTTTTCCGCAAAAGCACTTTTGCGGAAAAGCGTCCATGGCCAATCTAGATGCGCTTTTCCGCAAAAAAGCCCCGATCGCCTTTTTCGCGATCGGCGCTTTTTTGCGGAAAACTAATCTCTGCTGTCTACACTGGCCCTTTTGCGCCAAAGTTTTTCAGAAAAAGACTTTTGTTCGAACGGGAGCAGCATAGTATTTCCGCAAAAGCACTGACAATCTTACATGAGATCGTCAGTGCTTTTGCAGAAATTCAGGCGGCCAGTGTAGACAGCTGGCAAGTTATTCCGCAAAAGCAGATGATTTTGCGGAAAAACTTGCCATACTAGACACAGCCAAGACGTTTTTCCTGCTGTACTCCATGCTGATTAGGCCTCAGTGGGAGTATTGTGTCCAGTTCTGGGGGCACACTTCAAGAAAGATGTGGAACGATTAGAAAAAGCCCATAGAAGAGCAACAAAAATCATCAAAGGTTAGAAAACATCACCTATTTATTTATTTTAAATATTTTTACCCCGCCTCTCTATTTAAAATATTTGAGGCGGCTTACAACATTTTTAAAAACACAGTACAAATATATATAAAAAGTTAAAATACGAGACCCCAGAGGGACATAAAACCTGCTAAAGAGAGAGGATTGAAAAGATTGGGTTTTAGTCTGGAAAAGAGAAGGCGGTGAGAGGGGGGCTTAATAATTCTTAAGTGCATTACATGGAGGGAGAAAAATTGTCCTCTTTAACCTCTGAGGATAGGACAAGCAGCAATGGGTTTAAATTGCAGCAAGGGAGGTTTAGGTTGGACATTAGGAAAAACTTCCTGCCTGTCAGGGTGGTTAAACACTGGAATAAGTTGCCCAGGGAGGTTGTGGAATCTCCATCACTGGAGATATCCAAGCGCAGGTTAGACAGACACCTGTCCGGGATGGTCTATAATACTTAGTCCAGGGTACTGGACTACCAGAACTCTTAGGCTACGTCTGCACTGTGGGCTTCTTGCGCAAGAAGCTTTTTGTGGAAGAGATCTTCCGTAGAAACGTCTTGTGTCAGAGTGCATCCACACTGCAAAAGCGCATCGGAAAAGCGATGCGCTGCGCACAGGGGAGCATCCACACTGCAAGAAAGCGCTGATTGTCATTCACAGGATGGCCATCAGGGCACCTGTTCTTGTTTCGATCGGCTGTTTCTGTGCAAACCCCCCCTGCTGCCCATCCACACACCTTTTTGCACAAGAACTCTTGCACAAGAAGGAGGTATTCCTCGTAGACAGAGCAATACCTGCACCGCAAACCCCCCTGTTCTGTCGATTCACTGGAAATGTGCTTGCGCAAAAATGCGCTCGATGTGGACACGCCGTGCGTTTTTGCGCAAAAACTCTGCAGTGTAGCCATAGCCGTAAGGTCCCTTCCGTTCCTACCCTTCTGCGATGGACCCCGTGGTTAGGGGCGAGGAACCTGTTTTGGGTTGGGGGCCCTTGGCCACAGAATAATCAGTTGAGGGCCACACACGAGTGAGACGTTTACGGAATAAACTTTAACTAACCGGGCCCCAACTGAGAGGCAGAAGAAAAAGGGACACGCTCACTTTCACTCCTGCGCTCAGAGCACCAGGGTTTCCCTCAAACTCCAGGGGATTGCCAAGGCTCGGCGCTTCCCCCCAGGCCCAGTTAACTCTTCTGGGGGCCTGAGGCCAGTAGATTCTATGGGGCCCTGTTAGGTTCTAGGGTGGGGTCAAAATGGAGGGTTCAGTGTGCAGGAATGGGCTGGAGTAGGGAGTCTGGGCAGGAGGTAGAGTTCAGGAATAGGGTGGGGGGGTGTAGTCCAGGAAGGAGGGAGGCTGCAGGAATGGAGGCGGCGCAGGGTCTGGGGAAGGGTGCAGGGTCTAGGCAGGAGTGGAGGGGAACTGTAGGGTCTGGGCAGGAGGGCGGGTGCAGGAGTGGAGGGGAAGTGGAGGGGCGGGGCGGGAGGCAGGGTGCTGGGAAGGGCTAGGGATGGGGCTGTGGGATTTGGGTGGGATGTGGGAAGGAGGGTGCAGGAGCTGGGTGTAGGCTCTGGGCGGGAAGGGGGTGCAGGAGGGGCAGGGGATTGGGGCACTTACCTGGTGCAGCTTCCAAGGGGCACAGGTGGTTCTGCGTCCCCCTGCGCTTGCAGGCCCTGCCCCCTGCTGCTCCCATTGGCTGCAATTCCGGGCCAATGGGAGTGGCAGGGGAAAAGCCCCCAGGTAAGACTTCCCTTCTCTGCATTCGTCAGCTGGGCGGGGAGGGGGGCAGCACAGCGCCGTGTCTTCCCCCACCAGGCACAGCTGGCCACGCAGGGGCTTTAGCACCGGCTCCCCACTGCTTCCCCCCCCAGGGGCAGCCGGCGCTCAGGGGGCGTGGTGGCTCGCTGACTCTCTGTGGGGCTGGAGCACGAATACCAGGGAAGCCCCAGGCCTTGGGGGCCAGATCAAGCCAAGCCACGGCCCGTAGGTTCCCCATCCCGGCTGTAAAGTGTCCCTAAGGGTATGTCCCAGGTTCACCCTGAAGATTCCCTCTGAAGTCCACCGGAGTCAGTGTCTGCCAGGAACCGCATGCCAGCTGGGGGAGTCCCTCTGTGCCGGCTGAGCGATAGGAGCTCTCCAGCTACCTTCCAGCCCTTCGCCCCCAGCGTCTGCGCAGGGCTGTGGCTTCCTGCCTGCAGCAAGCCCCTTGCTCGCCCAGGCCCAGCAGACGACGGGAGGCCGGTGCTTCCTAGAGGTGCTCCGAGTGGCGTTCAGCCCGTGCTCTGCTGCCTGGGGAGCCGACGGAAGCCCGTCCTGGCAGGCCAGGGGCTGGTTTGGCTGGAGCCCAGGCACCAAGGAGAGCCTCTTGCAGCAAGCCGCAGGGCGGCCCTGAGTCCGTGCTAGGCTAGCATGCTGGTCCAGGCTCCTGCAGCATCTGCATCCTTTGGTCCTCGCACCCTGGTCCTGCAGGGAATTCTCCCAGGGAGCACACCTTGCGGAGGAGTGCAGAACAGGGAGCCTTCCCTGTCCCCTGGAAAACGCTGAGCACCGTTGTTCCGGGTGCCCAGGTGGGATCCCACGGGGTCTGCCATGCTCCAGGACTTGCTGTTTGTCCTCCAAAGGGATCAGGCAATAACTGAGTCGAGGGTCAGCTTGGTGAACCTCCGGGGTAGATGGGGAGGTTACAAATGCAGCAGGATGCTGGCAAATAAGAAATTAACTGAGCGTGACAAGCCGTCCAGGAAAGAGCAGTGGGGAGGAGGGGCTGGGTGCAGAGAGAGGAGAGGGTTCACCAGCTATAGCACAGGGTGGGTGCTCATGGGGTGTAGGCCTGCGTCCCCGGTCTCTGCGCCCCCGAAACACCGCGCTCTCGCAGCAGACATCGTGTGCCCGGGCTGTGCTCCCCGCCCGCTGGGAGGAGGATCAGCTGCGTGAGTCAGCATGTGGAGATGCTGCGGCAAAAATAGTACCTGTGATACTGGGTTGTATTGGTAGGCACGGCGAGCGTGAAATGTCAGCGGGCAGGTGGAAGGGGAGGTACCTACAGACAGTGTGTCTGGGGAACTGAGACCGGGGGCAGAAGATGGCCCATCAGGCACTGGCTGGAAAAGGATGCTGCTCCAGGCTGTGTATCCTGCTATGGTTTTGTAGCCTCTTCTGTCCTGAAGGAACCCACGTGCTTACACAGGCTGCCTTGCTGAAATGCGGCTGCTTCTGGGGTGTAGCTCGGCTGCCCTGCACTTGCTTTCTCTGGAATAGCAGGTCACAGTCTCTGGCATGTCTTCCTGGGCCCAAGGGATCTAGCCGAGCCTGAAGGGCCAGAGGAGACAGGCAACAGCTCAGCTCTCCTGGCACAGTGCAACTCTGTGCGGGAGCCAGGCTTTTCCAGAGACTGTGGAACAAACTCCCTCAGGTGCTAAGGCCCATCCCAGACCCCGGTGTGCTGCTTTGCTCCGCCTGCTCGAACATGGGAGTAGACGATGAGAAAATGTTCCAGAAGAACACTCTACGGGCACAGCCGCATGCCAGGCGTCCATCCTGGCCCTGGCTGCATTGCTAGGAGAATCTCTGTGGATTAAAACACCGGCTGGGGGAAATCCATTTTGCCCAAGGACATCGGGGCCTCCCACCCATGATCCTTCATGTCAACGCCAGGCTGCCTGGTCCCAAAGGCTCTGTGTTACGATGGGCTGGCCTGGATCTACCTTGTGCCCAAGGCGAGGGGCTAGGATATGCCGCCCGTGCTCTGTGGCCTTTGTGAGCTGCCGTGCGGCAGTGGTGGAGTCCCAGGGTTGCTTTGTGATGGGGTCTGCCAGGAGCCAAATAGCCCTGGTCCTCCTCAGAGTCCTCCTCGCATCCCCAGGGGTTCCTCCCGGGCGCCCCTCCCC